AGGTGAGCGACGTTCAAGAGCTACCGGTAGCTCGCGAGCGAGCGAGCGACGTGTTTGAGGCCCTTGCTCTACACAGCTCTACACAAAGTTTCTAGTTTCAGACGGCATCATACAGCCTTTGTGGTAAACTGGCCAATCAGCAAGCAGCCCATTTAATATTCATGTCCTGGCTGAGTGGGCGGGGCAAACCAGGCTTTCCATTGTACTGCTTTATTACAGTGTTGTGCTTGGCCTTTTTTCAGCGCTCCTAGGCCACTCAAAGTTTCACCTGCTACATATAGACTCCAATAACTGTTTCCAATTGTAAAACCACTTTAAAGTTTTAAGAACTGTTATAATGGCTGAAAAATACTGAAGTGAAACATTGTAATAAATAAGAATGTTTACTATTAACTGGAAGTTTTCTACAGATTTTGAAATGGTATCTGAATAATTATTAGAGCAGTATTAAGCACAGTAAGTTAATTTGTGTTGCTTCTAATTTTAAAAGTACTGTGTGAAAAAAAGTCTCAGCTTTAAATGTTGTCGTTTGCATTATCTTTTTTCATTTTCTCAGTTCTAACAACACTGATCTCATGCCTTCTTTTGTTTCCTGTGTTCATTAGATGTTTTTCTTTTACAGCTTCTTTTCCTCCATCTGCCTCTTTTCACTATTTATGACCCCTTTGGCAGGCCCAGGGCTGTCACTTATTAGGATTTATGGCATACACTCATAAATCATTGCGCGCTAAGAGGGTCAGTGTGAGCTGGATACTTGTAGAGATCTCAGCAGTGCAATGCCACTATTAATAAAGTAGTAAACACCATTGGGATGATGAAACTGTGCTGTGATGAAGGCAGTTCAAAAGCCCAACAGTCGCTGAATGTAAGCAGCTGCTGATAACTTATCCTTTTTCTCAGGAAAATGAATCTTGTGAGACTACAAACCATTTTGAGATGGGATCGCTCCAGCTGTTCTAACTTGGGCCACACCCAACATAAGCTTTATTTGTTCCTTCTAAAGATGAGCCAATAACGTGACAGATAACACATTAGATTTGTGCCAAAGATATATTTTGCTTCATAAAACGTTAATTAAAAAAATCTGTTTCTTATTTTTACATGAAAATTACATTTTGTTGAGTTTTGCCTGTCTTCTTTGTTGTCCCGCGTAATCCATGTATCATCCTCTCTTTACATTTTCACTAGCAAACCAAAACGTGAAAAAGTGATTGGTGTTTTTATTATTTGTTTTTTATTGTATACCAAAACTAAAGCAGTCTTGTTTGTTAAAGTTTTTATTTTATTTTAAATTTTTATTTTTATCTTCACCTCATGTTACCTCACGGGAGATAACGTTATGCTTTATACGTGTAAGTTTGAATATAAATAAAAAATTAACCTTTTACTTTTTAAATTGTGTATATATTTGTTAAAATAAATATGTAAGCAAGTTACTACCTGTTAACCACCGAAGCTGCAACTACTAGCATCTAACCAACCTTAGCTAACTGCTTTGGATAAAAAAAACGTTTCAGATATCAGCCTGAAGGCTACAGTTAGTTGACTTACATTTAAACTTCTCAAGTGGAGGAGTTTAAGTATCTCGGGGTCTTGTTCACGAGTGAGGGTAGGAGGGATCGTGAGATCGACAGGCGCATTGGTTCGGCGTCTGCAGTGATGCGGACGCTGAGCCGATCTGTCGTGGTGAAGAGGGAGCTGAGCCAGAAAGCCAGGCTCTCGATTTACCGGTCGATCTACGTCCCAATCCTCAACTATGGTCATGAGCTTTGGGTAATGACCGAAAGAACGAGATCGCGGATACAAGCGGCCGAAATGAGTTTCCTCCGTAGGGTGGCCGGGCTCAGCCTTAGAGATAGGGTGAGGAGCTCGGGCATTCGGGAGGGACTCGGAGTAGATCCGCTGCTCCTCCGGATCGAAAGGAGTCAGGTGAGGTGGTTTGGGCCTCCCTGGGGAGGTGTTTCGGGCATGTCCTGCCGGCAGGAGGCCCCCAGGTCGACCCAGGACATGTTGGAGAGGTTACATCTCCAATCTGGTCTGGGAACGCCTTGGGGTCCTGCCGGAGGAGCTGGTGGAGGTGGCCAGGGAGAGGACGGTCTGGAGCTCCCTAGTTGGGATGTTGCCCCGGCGACCCAGACCTGGATAAGCGGAGGAAGACGACGACGACATTTAAACTTGAAATTTGCCACTGGCTCCCTGGAGGGCTTAGGCCAGGGGTCAGCAACCCGCGGCTCTGGAGCCGCATGCGGCTCTTTCATCCATCTGATGCGGCTCTCTGCTTGTAAACTAATTAATGAATATTTCATTACTATGTATTTATTTTACTGGATTCCATTTTTTATCCGTAGCCAATTCTAAATTTAAAGATTGTCTGCGTAAACCTGAACAAGTCACCTGCTTGTGCGTAACCAAATGTCTATAGGCGCTTTCTGAGCTGAAGAGGATATGAGATTCTGGACTGTTCCTTAGACAGGCTCATGTCATGACAGGAACAAGCACTATTCAGCCAAAGATCCACAATCAGGGAACATTTTTTAAGTGACAAGTCTCTGAGAGCCTGGGTTTAGAAAACACAGAATCTTCCTGCATGGTTCTGGTTCTGCGATGCGCTCCAAGTCCCCAATCTACACATCTTCAGCTCGCTGTCCACCTTGCGCATGCGCTGACTGCAAGCTGCGCTGACCTCAGCGTCCCTCTCAAATGTTCTGATGGGAATCTTTTCCTGATTGATGTAGTTACCTCCACGAAGTGTGTAACGATTAAAATGTCAGCGCATCTGCAGGCTTGAGATTTCTCCGTCAAAATAATCAAATACGGGTGTAGCGTTGACAAATGGATTATTTATTTGTACTTATGACCAGGAAGATGGGATATTCTATATAAATATAAAATATTACCTTGCTTGATCTTTATTGTATATATCAGAAGATTATAGGGCTTAATCAGAAGATTGTAGGATTTTTGCTTTATTAAGTAGTTATACGCACTTCGTTTTGATTCAGAAAAGTCAGGTTTATAAAAGTAAGAAATTATTTTATTACAATTATAACATGATAAGTGAAATATCCGGTCGGTGCAAACCTAGTAATTTAACAGTTTAACCTTCTTGTGAAGATTGTTGCAAACAGAAACATTAAACCTGATTAACACCAGAGCCACGCACACTGCACAGTTATCTCCGTCATTGTAATTGAGGGAAAAAACTAATTGATTGGATCCTTTTCTTACCTTTTCAACAATGTTTAATGCAAAGTTTAGTTCAGTACAAAGTCTAATTACAACAGTCCAACGAGACAGAGCCTGGATTCGTATTCTAAACAGCATCACCTGCTCAACTATTAAAACCACTAGCAGGGTGAAAAATATCGAAATATTGTAGCACAGACGGGCTACAATTTTTGGATCAATTTTATTCAAACTGTTTTATTAATTATCTTCTGTTGAAAGATAACTTTGACGTACATGAGCGACTGGTATTGGTTGCTGTCACCTGTTGTGATCGGTTAAAGCAGCTCTTTGCTGTCTGAGGGTAGGCCCCGCCCACAATGCCGCTGCTGCGGCTCCCAGTGTTTTCTTTACTGTGGGAAACGGGTAATAATGGCTCTTTGATGGGAACAGTTTGCCGACTCCTGGCTTAGGCCAACCAGCCATTCCTCCACATCCCCATACATTTTGCTCCTCCTGCTCCTTCACATCATCACACAATCATGCACATAGTACCTTGGGGGTGGGGGGGGGGTGGGGGGTGGGGGTGGGGGGGGGGACAAGTCAGGGATTGCGGGTATGGATCCCATTTCCGCATTCCTGTGGCAGACTGCCCCCCAATTTTATTTGCACATTAAGCACTTCCACCAACGACATTCCACGCAAACACACTTAGGGCCTTGGGAGTGAGCACACTCATCGGCATTTGGCAAGGGGATCTTTCAGCCTCATCCCACGTGCCGGTGCCCACTTCCAATTTTAAACTGCACTTAGACACAGAGGGCTGTGGGGGGAAGTGGAGTTGTGTGATTGCATCAGCATCAGCTGGCATAGGCCAGACACTGCCCGCTCACCACAGCCATGGAATACACCTCATCAACACGCACTGTAACACAACACTGTATTGGAGCAGGCGGAGGGAGACTAGGGCCTAGTCCACACGTAGCCGGGGTTTTTTGAAAACGAATATCCGCCCCTCCAAAAACTTGCATCCACACCACCGCGTTTTAAAAACAAACTCTGTCCACACCTACCCGGATAAATATGTTGTTAAGGACATGCCAGACCTGTAGGCGGCAGTACTTCCCCCGTTCTTAACCTCGTCCTTCGTCTGTGGTCTTCCACCAGGAGCAGTAATTCCGCTTGCAAAAACAAACAAGCAGAAAGCGCTTGGACAGTTGATGGATCGGGTAGTGACAGAGAGCAGCTCCGAAGGCTTCCATGATGCCGGCTAGTGTAAACACAGGTCGCACACGTGATGTCAGCATTTTTTGTCGCGGAAAGTGACGTTGCGGACCTTAAAACTCCGGTTTTGTCTGTCCACACGCAGACACCCAAAACGGAGAAAACGCAGATCTTCACTTTGGCCAGAGTTTTTAAAAAGATCCGTTTTCGTGTGAAAAAATTCCGTTTTCGTGTGGATGACAGGCCAAAACGTAGAAAAATATCTACGTTTTGGCAGATCCCCGGCTACGTGTGGACAGGGCCTAGGTGTCTTAGTGCACCTCTGTTGTCGCTTGGCTTCCCGGGGCTGGAGGCTAGGAGGGGTAGCTGGCCATCATGTTGGGGTCTGGGGTGGTGGGATGCTTTGCTCAGCGTTGGGTGGGGGTGCCTGCTCATCATCACCCCAGCAGAAAAGGTTGAAATCTGGGAACCGGTGATGGTTGTACCCCTTGTGCAGCAGTACCGGGACCAGAGTGAATAGGGTGTGTATGGAGGGCGTGAGTAGGTGTCTAGCGGGTCAGGGGATGTAAGATTTTTGGAGTCTGCCTGATCGATCCCAGTGACTGCCTGGTGGGTTCTGAGTCCCTGGGCTCTGTTGGGTCCCCGGCGGGGCTGGTCGCCCCTGGGTCCCGGTTCGCTGGGTTCCGGGCTCGGCCGGCTAGGGGGTGGGAGGCTGCGGGTGGGCCTATGGGTTTGCCGCTGATATCTCCCGGATCTCTGCCAGCTGCTGGTTGTGACCCCCCGGCAGGGTATCCGCGGGTCCTTAAGAAGTCTTAAATTTGCTTTTCCAAATTTAAGGCCTTAAAAATCCTTCAAAATGACAAATAATCCTTAAATACAGTTTCCAGAGGTCTTAAATTACCAAAGACCCAATAAACAAGATTCTTTTATTTCTATAAAATTTTTGTAAATTTCTAGTTAGTGTTCAGCATTTGTTGTGTATGATGTTAGCGTAAGCGGAACCGTACACATGCAGTTGGTTGTGAAAGGGGGCTATTTTTAGATGAGCACATTAGCTGGTTAAGCTAGTGGGAGCTTGCGCCATGGGGAAGGGCAAGTTTAATGGTAACTGGATGGCTAATCCCACATTTGCGACGTGGTTACCACCGTTCCAGGCAATAGCTGGAAATTATAGCTTAAATTTATTTTTAAAAATAGCTTAAATTTGGTCAAAGTGGCCTTAAAAAAGTTCTTAAAAAGTCTTAAATTTGGCTCCCTTAAACCTGCAGATACCCTGCCCGGGACGATCTTCTGCGCCTCTCGAGAGGGGGCTCGGGCTTTTCTGGTTACAGTCTCCCTGGGGTCCCTGTGCTCTGAGGCAGCTCCTGGATCTCTGGGACTTGGAGCTCCTGGTGGGCAGATCTGTGGCCCCTCACACTCTCTATTGAATGCTCCTATAGAGAAACCTTACATATACAAGCGCGGGTACGCACACAGGTGCTCACATGGTGCCCTCATAATTATGGACTTGGGCATTTTTATGTCTTAAGGCTGTGGTTGGCACTAAATGCTCTGTGATTTATTATCGTGTGATTGTTCAGTAAAACAATGTTGATTTTATATTTCCTCATCAGGTTGATGCAGTGATAGCTTTCTCCTGTTGTATTGTTGTGTGTCCCCTTCTTTTTTGTTTGTTTGTTTGTTTGTTTTTTCTCTTTCTGCAGGTCTAGAAGCAGACTCTTGTTCATCATTGATTGTTTATTTTTGTAGAACCCTCCCTTCCTTTTGTTTCTTCCTTTCTCTTTCACCACTGTCCCCGTGTCTGGTCGGAATTATAAAGCGTTCAAAAAACAATAACAATAAAGTTTTAAGTAACAGGCGTGACATTAAAGCAGAAGCTTTGATGCTCTACCTGAGAGTAAATCTGTAAGGCTTGTCACCAGCATTCAGACATTAATTCTGTTTGCTTCACAGCCAGACAGGACACGGGGGAAAAAAACAAACTTGAAATTTGCCCCCAAAGTAGCTGCTGGCTTCCGATCCGCCATCCTTTTGAAAATACTGCGATGTATTCTGGAAAATTTGTGACTAAGGCTAGGCAACAAGATGCCTCCCGTGTATCCTTGCTCAGCTAGCTAAACAGCTAACAAACGAAGAACAGACGCCTCTGTAGATCATGTACATTGAAACATGCCTTGGCAGTTCCTGAATTCATATCTCCTAGGCAACCAGGGCGTGACCAAGAAGACATCAAGGCAAGGTTTCTTGGCACTAATGGGCCATTCCCATCTGTACCGGGTCGGCCCGGGCTGGGTAGCGTAGGTTGTTTACATATATGGGTGGCCTGGTATTTTTCCGGGCCAACCAAGGCTCATTCTCAGCCCTCTTCTCGAGGGGGTCTGCTTCAGGCCGACCAGGGCCAACACACCCACTGCTGACAGCAAATTCACACCTTCCATTAGAGCAGGCCTCTGATTGGTGGGTAGAATCAGCCCACATGGGCTTAAGACAAGGATGTGTGGAATCAACCGGGCCAGGCTGGGGCCGACTGGGGCTACCCGGCCCGGGCCGACCCGGTACAGATGGGAATGGCCCATTATAGGCCTTTTCCACCGACCAAACTGGCATGGAATGGGAAGGATCGGGTCACTAAATATTCTGTTTCGATTGTTTAAACCAGTCCAGGAAACTACCCGAACCGGTCCAGTAGCGGGCCAGAGCGGGACCCCTTCTGTTGTGGGTCCAGAGATTTTTGGTCTGGGCGGAGCCAAAGCGTAAAAGGTCCAGAGTCCTCTGATTGGGGGAGAAATTACGTAACTACCCGCGACAATCCCAGGGGATGGAAAAAGAAGTGAGTCGAGTTCCAGTGTTTGTTTGGCTGTACTTCTTGTGTGTGAAAATGCCTGCAAGTAATAGCTTTTGGTCCAATGCGGAGCTTCAAACGTTCCTCACCATCATCGGAGATAGCAACATTCAGGCCGAGCTGGATGGGATGATAAGAAATGAGAAAGTCTTCAAAGAAGTTTCTCAGCGCATGGCAGCTGAAGGATTCCAGCGCACCTCCGAGCAGTGTCGTGCTAAGCTGAAAAAAATAAAAGCCCACTACAGAAAAGTTAAGGACAGCAACGGCCGTAGTGGGAATGGGCGAAGTACATGGAAGTGGTACGATGTGGTGGACGCTATTTATGGACACAGACCGTCAAACCGAGGCAGCGAAGGAGGCCTGGACTCAGCGACCAGTATCCTGGAGTCACTCATAAACCCTGTTGGTAAGCATTTCTTTTGTTGTCTTTTTAGCTCTGCAGGCCATTCATTGCAGCACCAAAAACACTGAATAATAGCAGCAGCTATTTAAGAAATGCTCAGCAAGTAAAGGATTTAGCCCCTCATGTTAACTAGCCTTAGCATCCCCTCGTGTTTATGCTAACCTTCATTTAGCATTCCCCCGTGTTTCTTAACACGCTGTTCGCGATATAAGCCTTTCATGTTTAGCATGTCCTTGTTGAGTACATGAGGCTGGAGCGGAGTTTGCCTTTCTTGTTAGCGTCTCATTGTTTAAAACATGGGAAATTCGGTTAGCCTTTCACGTTAGCATCTCAGTGTTGTTAGCATCTCATTGTTTTATACAGCTGAGCACGCACAGTGAGAAGAAGCGAGCTGATCTAATATTATAAATATCCCAAAAGTCGTGCCAGCAGTGTTTTTCGCCTAGAGTGGACTTTTAACAAGTATATATTTTTCGGATGAATAAGAATATAACATTAAATTGCAATTAATCTGTACGTCACTGGCGAATTACTGCCATCTAGTGGACACGTTCCAAATGACAAAATGGCCTTAAATCATAGCAGTTTTATTAAGTTTACTATATGCCTATATGCTCTTTTGCTGTAAAAATATTGTGCTTTTCTTACCGATTTATTTCGTGACCTTTTCTTACTGACTAATTTTTTGATCTGTGTTTTTCAGACACATCTGAAGCGGAAAACACTCCCTCTTCAGAGGAACCATCCACTTCCTCAAGTAGCACTCCAGGACCTTCTGTGCCACCATCACCTCTGTCCGTACCTTCTGTGACACCATCGCCTCGGCCAGTTCCATCGCCACCACCATCACCTCTGTCCACTACCACTCGAGAGGAACATCTACCATGTCGTCGACGCACAGGTAGTGTCTGACCATTCTAAAAATTGCTTTGTGCATAAACAAAACTGACAAGTTCACTGGACAACTGACATTTTGATATCCATATAAACACAAATGTAATTGTCAATGTTGTTGTTTCCAGGTGACCGAAGACGGCGATTGGAAGCACGGACACAGGTGATATTTGATGAGTTGCAGATCGCAGATGGCAGGCAGATGGACAGAATGGAAGGCATAAGCCGGGAGCAGGTTAACTGGATGCAACAAGACGCAGCAGCATCAAGACAACATGAATTACAGATCGCAGAGCGATATTTTGAACATTTGGGTGCCCTAAATGCTGTTCTTGGACTGGTCGCACAAAGAATGGGCAGCTCCTCTGACTTCCTGCCACCACCCAGGCAGTAAGGTGCTATGTATTTGTCCCGTAATTTTTTTTATCCGTCTGTCCTTTTTATCAATAAATTTTCAAAGAAAAACAAGGTGTGCATGAATTGTCTTAAAAATTTTTGCTCGCAAATTTACGTTTACATAATAAATGTAGATTACATTACAGCCCACCTTAAATATATGTTAAAATGAAAAGGTGCAACAGTTCGTTAACAGTAAAATAGTGTACTTTATTAAGTTCTGAAAATAAAACAAACATTTCAGTTCAAACTACAGGCTTCGAACAGTTAAAAGTGTCAAAACAATAAACAAAGTAAATGGAAAGAAAAAACACAAACTGAGGTCAGCGGGTGAAGTGTCGCATCAGAGCTTCACGCACATCACTGCCCTCCTCTGCAACTTCCTGCATATTTGCAACCACTGGTTCATCAGCAGGTGCGTCACATTCTATATATTCCTCCCCATGGCTCTCACAGATATTGTGAAGCACACAACAGGTCAGCACCATGTGTTTAAGAAGCTCTACATCACTGTCGTTTCTCTTCAGAAGACATCGCCACCTACCCTTTAGCCTCCCAAATGCATTTTCGACCACAACTCTGGCTCTGGACGTTTTCCTGTTGTACGCCTGTTGTTCAGCAGTGAGACGACCGTTGTCAGAAAATGGTTTTAGGAGCCAGTTCTGCAGAGGATAGGCAGAGTCCCCGAGCACATAAAAGCCTACATTTACTCCCTCAATGTTCTTGGTACTAGTTGGGTGCAGTTGTCCATGAGCAACCAAGTCCCAAAATGTGGACAATCGCAGCACACGGGCATCATGCAAGCTACCTGGCTGACCTGCATTAACATTCCAGAACATGCCTCTGCCATCCACAATGCCCTGGAGGATTATGGAATGCCAACCTTTCCTATTGAAGTAGTCTGTGTGGAATCCCTGTGGTGCGATTATTGGGATATGGGAACCATCGATGGCACCCACACACTGAGGAACCCCCCACCTGGTCTCAAAATAGTCAGCCATTTCCTGTAGCTTTTGCAGAGTTGGAAAAGCAATAACCTCGGCAAGCAAAAGTTTACAGACAGCCTTACAGAAGTCCTGCACACAGCGGCACACAGAGGTCGTGCTGACACCAAAAAGAAGCCCGATGCTCCTGTATTCACTGTTAGTTGCAAGCTTCCACAGTGCAATTGCAACTCTTTTCCTGAGTGGCACGCAGGCTCTGAAGTTGGTGTTCCTCTTCTGCATGGCTGGACGGAGCTTGGAACAAAGATATGAAAAGGTCTCTTCTGACATTCTGAAATGAGCTATCCAATCTGACGGAGTGAAGTTTGGCATGGTCACATCCCAGAAGGCGCTGGCACGGCTGAAGGCCCACACAGTTGGTTGCCGTCGCTGATTCAAAAGAGCCAACTAAAAAAAAAAACAGTCATAACACAGTAAAAGTAAAAAGAATAGTGCTGTGAAAAAGATTGAAACAGTATGGTTATAGACATAAAGTTCACATCAATAGAATTTGTTTAAGGTTAAAATAACAGCTGTTCTTTATGGCACTACCAGTGACTGGTTATGTTTTGTTCACTTTATAAAATGCACAAATGTGGTATTGCTTGTAATTACCTATATAATTAATTATAATAATTTCAGTACAGCTGCACAACTTATCTATGACATGCCCAGGAAGTAAAGAGTGAAGGATTCAGGCCCTCCTGTTGACTAGCATCACCATGAGTGCAGAAGCTGTTTGAAACTTAGTTAGGTGTTGGCCTTTCATGTTTAGCATGTCTTAAATGACCAATATACAACCAAACCATTTGATTTTGGTGCTTTTTTTTTTGTTTTTGTTTTTTGATAGTTGCCCTAGACACCCCTTCAGAGATTATAACGACATGTATTACAGCATTAGAAGTTACTTACCACCTGGCGCCTCCGTCTTTGTCTCAACAGTAGAAAGTTATGCCTCGTGTCCGATATTAATTTCAGAAAGCGTCGTCGCCTTTCAGCTGCCCTCCTCCTCGATGCGCACAGCATAGCTCTAAACGCTATCGTGATGTGGGTGTAAAGAATATACCAAACACCAAGAACAGAAAGAACGCGCTGGTGACTGGACTCCATTGTTGTTGTGTTTTGGCGCGATCTCGTCGCGCTGTGTGACGTTAAGGCACACATCGCGCGTGACGCATTACGCTACCCCGCCTAGTTACTGGAGCCTGGAATGTGATAGAAACGCTTGCCAGAAAACTTCTAGACCCATACCGGTACATACCGGTCCATAATACCCAGACCTGACCGTCCCAGACCAGGCGATGGAAAAGAGCTATTAGAAACACCCCATTTGTTCATTATCACCATTGTGTCACACCCTGTCCTATCTCCCCTTTTGGTTTAGTCCTGTGTCTCTGTTAATTGCTCCCACCTGCCTCTCGTTTTCCAATCACCCAAACTCCCAGCCCTCTTGTATTTAAACCCTGTTAGTCCATTTTGTCTGGTTGGATCATTGTTTCATTATCCTGCGTGCTCTCCTCATTAAAGACTGTTACTCGTTCCAGTTTGTCTGCCTGCCTGCTTCCCTCACCCGCATGTGGATCCTTGTATCTGCCTCACTCACCGGCACGTTGTGTCACATTGCTTCACGTGCTGAGCTTACTCTAGAAACCACAAAAACAATGGTGCTATTTTTAACGTTTAGCAACTAGAGTTGTCCTATCCGTTAAAATAACACCCCACTGGTGTCGCCAAAATGTTGATTATTAACAGGAAACAGGAATTAAAGCTGTGTTAGTTTGGGAACAATCAGAATCTTTATTTGAAACGTCATTAATACAAATGTTACCACTGTCTGCTAGCACATTGCATGTGTGAAACCATGTTTATGAACTGAAGAAGGTTTCATTGTTACGGATACCTACAACAAAACATGCAACCATCTTTTCAAGGAAACTGCTGCAACCTTCTTTGGATTATTTGTTTTCAGCTTGTGAGGATGATTGCGTCATGGTAGTTAGACGTTATTTTCACCACCACAATGCTCGCTGTTGCAGGAATACCAAAGCAGGTTATTGCCCTGGTGTTTCTGTGTTTCTCTCTCAACATGATGGATGCCTCAACTAAGGCACAGAACTTAATAAATGAGTGTCGTGGGCATCACAGTGAAGTTGCGTTAGTAAATGGTATCTGATGTAAAAAGGAGCAACATCCTCTTCCCCTCTTCTGCCTTGTGTCCCACATTCTCTTTTATTTGCAAAAAATGTGTTGTTTCCAGGAAGGAATGTTTTTGATTTGATTTATAAAAATGTAATACCTTCTTTAATAAATGTGGTCTAAGAAGTCCTTGGCACTGCAGCAGATGTGAGTCCATCCATTTTTTTTAATGAAGTGGTGCTTTTAATCTTGGATATTGCAGAAATTCTTGGCTTGTGTGTATATCTCTTTTAGTAGCCCCCTTTCCAGTCCCTCATTTGTTATTTTCAAATCTTACAAGGACACCACTTACTTCCATCATATATTGTACATTAGAAGTGAACAATTATATTTGAGCATGCCATTAGCTGTCAGAGAAGCAATTTTTGATCTGCTATAACTGCAAAACTTTGAACATCTCATTCAAGGGAGTTGCAATAATGCAGCAATGAAACGGAGCAGAATTAATTATAATGCATCCCCAGGGCATGTTAAACTGTGTCAAAACATGGTACTGTAATTTAATCGCAGAGGAAGAAAGGAAAAAAGTGAGGCTCACTAAATCACAAAGTTAAAGAAGAGTGGAGCCACATTTGGTTGCATTTTATTATCCTGATTAGTTCTGTGCATCTATGAAAAAGTAATTTGTCACAGATTTAGCAATAAAGATGAAATACTTCCCCCTGCCAAGCTTGCATATTGCTTATAGCCCTCAATCACATTTCTTTATGTTTTTAATATGTCAAAATGTCAGAATCCTCTCCTCGATGCTTTGTGTCTCTTGAGATTCTCAAAGTCATGTGGCTTTGTAATGTTTTATAACTTTAAACAAGCTAATCTGTGTTGTTTTTATACCCACAATTCTTGACTTTGTCCTGAATAAGAACAGTTCCAATACTCATTTGCGCAAACAATTTTCACACAAGTTATGTTAAGCTTTTTGAAAAGAATGGATACGTTTAAAGGTGTAGTTAACTGAAAATCGATTTTTTAAATGATTATTTCTGATTATTATCAGCCACTCTGAGTTTTTCTTGTAGGCTGAACATGAAAATAGTCTCCCACACCTATGTCCTGCGTTAGCTTCTGATAGACAATAGACTGTGAAATGCTAGGATAAGAAAAGCCTGACAGATCTACGTTATGCTGATGGTTTACATTCATGGTCTCACTGATCTTGACTCACAACGGGGAAGGCTGTTGTTATTTTTATGTCCAGGAATTAGCAGTGGACGTGTCGACTACTTTAAGCTTACCATTAGCATAAGCAACTCACACAGCAGAACTCCTCCAGGCTTGTGTTATTTGTGGAGATGGAACATCTACGTTGCAAGTCAGTGGTAGAGTTGCGTTGCTGTTATCAAATCTGAGGTCAGATGCCCAAATATCATGAAGTAAGACTTAAAAACCTGCTATCTGAGGCTTCGCTGTGATTTGGGCAACTTTTAGTTCCAAGAAATGGTGCACCGGTACATTTTTCCCTCCCCGAGAACGACTTACAAGTCATTCATTCCTACTAGAGACCACTACAAATGTATTGATTAAACAAGTGAATCACTCCTTTAAATTTACATCCCACTTGAATTACATGGTTTTGAGTGAATTATTAAAAAAAGTGCAATGTTTTCTGTATTTTCTTTACAGTGTACAATGCAGTGGGTCTGGCTGCATATGAACTGTTTGACAGTGTGGACTTTGATCAGTGGTTCAAGAATCAGCTGCTTGGAGAGCTTCAAGTTACCCATCACAGGTATTTTGTTGGAAGTTTTGCCATTTTTTTGTCCGTCTTTATTCTTTATCATAATGGTCCTAGAATTCAAAACCCCATTATTGTTGCTGATTTTGGGCAGCTAGAGGTGACTAATGTGGCATACCAAAACGTCTGTCGTCTCGGATGGGCTTTCCAACGTAAATTGGCGTAATAGCCAAAGAGTTAGTAATAAGAAAAGCTGATTTAACACATCATCAGGATAGACAAACCACCTTACATCTGGGTGTCCCAACCTACTTCAGCGTCATCAATACATAAACACTGGTCGTGGTAATGCTAAGTGCAGAACAACTCTAGCTTGAACTACTGCTAATGCTAGCCTGAGCTACTACTAACGTCCTTGTTGGATGAGCGGAAAACAGCAAAATGGAATGGTGACGCACTGACGTTCCAGGATGCACCGTGAATATCCAGACTAAGGGGCTCGGCACACGGGCGGCGACAAACGACCGCGATCAGCGAAATTTGTCGCTGTCGCTTTTATTACCTGACACACGGGAGGCGACCCACGGCCAGTGGCAAAGCCGTCTACGCGTTCTGTCCCATGGCGAAATCGAAACGTCAGTTGTTTTGTTTGACGGTGTCAGGTTGGAGGGAATTAAGGTTATTTAAGTGGTTCAGAGTTAGAAAAGCGGTAGAGATTATGTTTCACAAGGTGCTGCTAGAGTTATGTGAAATCTGATTTTACTATATAAAACATAATAATAATAATCAACTTCTCCTTCATGTTTGCTCGGAGATGTACGGAGCATCCTGTCCGCTCATTGGTCTGTGAATGAAACCTCCGTTGATTGGTCCTCGTCCGAGCGACAGCGATGAAAAGTTGAAAATGTTTTAACTTTCTGGGATCGCGTCGCTGGGTTGCCTGTGCACGACACGTGCACGAGCGCAAATTTTCACACGCACGTTTTTCGCATTTCGCTTAGTAGGAGGGAGACCCGCGATTATTGCTTTGTCGCCCATGTCTCATTGAAAATGAATGGAGGAGAGGCGATGTCGCCTCCCGTGTGCAGAACCCCTAAGAATGAATGTCAGATGGATCCACAGCTCATCGTCTGGTCCTTGCCCTCTTCTTCACTTGTCCTTGAACCCTGCTCCACAACCCACCAAACATTCACTTTGCCAGACATTCTCCCTTCTTCTCATTCGTCCCCACCCTGGCACTCGGTTAGAAAATTTATAAGGACTCATTGGCCTTTGTGAGCCCCAGCAAAGGCTCATGTGCTTTATATAGGCTCAATGAATATTTTCCCATTGTAAAAGAAACCTCTTTCTGGTACTCTTTTATTTTATAATCAGACAAATACTCACATCTTAGCACAACAAAGATTTTATAAACACTGAAACATCCCCTTCTGTAGTTCTGAACTGAAAAAGTGCACGTTCAGGTGAACACAGTTAAAGAACTCTGCACTTTTATGTTCTATTCCATTGTGGTCTGAAAAATTAAAAGTTAAAAAATTGAAGTCCCATTAGTTGTCACACACACAGGTGTGTGTGCGAAATTTGTTCTCCGCATTTGACCCATCCCCTGGGGGAGCGGTGAGCTGCAGACACGGCCGCGCTCGGGAACCATTTGGTGGTTTAACCCCCCAATCCAACCCCTTAATGCTGAGTGTCAAGCAGGGAGGCATTGGGTCCCATTTTTTCAAAGTCTTTGATATGACCCGACCAGGAATCGAACCCCTGATCTCCCAGTCTCAGGGCGGACACTCTACCACTAGACCACTGAGAAAGGATGAAACACTGTTGGATTATTTCCTCTTGACACATTTACAAAATTGATTATATATGTGGAGTGACAAAGCAATTAATTTATGAAAGACATTAATGGCATCTGATGTGTTGTAGAGATAAAATGAAAGTCCCGTTAGTTTTCTCCCTGGTGTGTGAAATTTGTTCTCCGCATTTGTCCCATTCATGGGGCAGCAACGAGCTGCAGACACAGCTGCGCCTGGGAAACATTTGACGGTTTAACCCTTCAAAGAAACCCGTTAATGTGAGTGTCAAGTGGAGAGGCATTGGGTCCCATTTTTAAAGTATGACCCAACTGTGGGTTTGAACCCATTGTAGTAAAATACATTTTTAATTATGACCAATAAGAAGTGATATTCCATATAAATATGAAATATCAATCTGATTGATCTTTGACTGTTTAATCAGAAGATTCTAGGGTTCTTTGCTTATTCAGGGACCATAAACACACTTCGTATTAGTTCACACAGAGTCAGCTATATAATTTATAAAATGAATTTAATTAATTTTCCTAAACTAATGATAATACGAATATATAAGAAATGAATAATGAGATGTGATGTGGTGGATGTGAGGTGTTGTGATGGAAGCTAGATGTTGGAGCAACCGTTCTTTGTATCTGAGAGAAATTGTGAAATCTGGGTGTTAAAGAATTTGTTGTAAACTAGAGAGTTGTTTATTTATAAACCTCATCAGACGCCAGTAAGCAGGCTTACGATACCCTTGTATGAGTTGCTCCCGGCGGTCCGGAGGTTTGCGGTCAGAGTGGTGAGGTCACCGGACATTAGGGATGTGAATCTTAGAGCAATTCACGATTTAATTCGATTCCGATTCTGATTCTTGGGGTGCCGATTTGATTCAGAATCGATTCTCGATTCTCTATTTAAATCGATTCACAATCAGTATTAACAAAGAGTGTCAGCTCCAGGATGAACTACTTTGTTGTACAAGTTAGTTAAAGCTATGGGACATTTTTATTTGACGTTAAACTGGTCAGGCTCCAAAAATGCAAATTTACAAGGTAAACTAAAGTGATTCTAAAACTGTAAACAGAAGCAATCTTATGACTAAAAGGCAACATTTATTTTTGCTTACCTTGTAAAATATAACAAATCTGTAGTTACCTAACAGTAGCTTTGAAAGTAATACGGTCAAATACTTTTCAAGTATGTGTAGAAACAAGTTACATGAGTAATCCTGAGTACTCTTTTATCAACTTAGAAAATAAATATGAGAATATCTCAAATTTCTGAGTATGGAAAAAATGACATTCAAGTGACCGCTTATCAGCAAATTCAAGCATAAATCATCTCAATTTATGGGACCACAAAAGTAAACAGAGTACTGAATCTCCTAACAAAGATCAAAAAAGTGCATCTCAAACCTGTAACATGCCAAATATTTGAGTTCTTGGAATCGATTCTGAACCTTTGTGAATCGATTCTGAATCTTTATAAATAAGAATCCCGATTCAGACTTGAATTGATTTTTTTTTTCAGCACCTCTACCGGTCATCAAAACCACAATACTCAGAGATTAGTAGCTTCCTCTGAGTTCGGCTTCCCCGGCCATGAGATGCAACCCGGGGTCTGCAGGTTAGCTGTGAAGTAGCTCTGAAAAGAGCTGCTGTGTCTGTAATCACTTGCAGCGTCGCAGAAAGGTTTTCGACTTAAGGTCCAAGGAGATGGTTTCAAAAGAGGCTTCTTTCCCGATTTGGCCAAATCGGGGGTCAGCTGGAAACTGAACCAATCGGGAAGTAAATCCTGTTTTAATAAACTCATTATTTATAATTTCTGGTGTATTCTGGCAAATCAGAATGTGTCATGTCTGGAAGGCTTTACCAAAACATTCCTCAGAAAGCCACGCCTTCTTCAGATACAAAGATGTTTTTAACACTGTGAATGAGAATGTCTTAAAACTCTTATGCGAGGTGCCTTTTAACCTCAATATTTGTCTTATTGTAATGTAAGTGAGCATAAACAATGATTAACTTGTTAAATCAAAAACATACTGATTTGTGACATAAATGGATCCTTGTAAGAACAATATTCATTTCAAATTCTTTGATTTAAGCACAGATTATTAAAACATTTCATTTAAACATCTTGTTTATTCATCACATATGATTATTTAACTTATAGCTCTACAATCATGGAGTCTTCACTTATTCAGAGTGAAGAATGTTGTCTGGCTTCTAAAGCCTGATTTATGCTTCTCAGTCTGCGTCAGTGCGGAGACACGCAACGCCATTATCCGTCCTTGCGTAGGGCTCCGGCAGGCGCGCAAGTACGTACGGAGTCGAGCCCACTTTTTTAAACATCCGTCGAACGAGGCGGATTACGCAAGCTTGTGATTGGTCAGGACGCCGCTGTTGTTTACAGCGCCGCCATTGCAAAGAGAGCCGAGGATAACTAGCGGCAGACACGGAGAAGCTTGAAGAATACCTCGCGAAAAAACTAAAAATATGAACGTTTTATCCTCCCGTGACTGGAGGAGTGAAAAGATGCGCAGCAAGCGTTTTATTTGTGGACGGAAATGACAGGAAACGTGGGTTTAGAGGTGGGGAGCGCATGAAGCGGTGGGAGAATGAGAGACAAATATGTCCATGTTAAAAGTCTCTTATATACACAAAAAACACAATATAAACACACTATCTTGGACCGATACATGACAGGATACCACAGAACAGCGCTACGCCCTCTGTGGTCCTGCCGGGCAATTGCTTTGCAACACTCCCCAGGAGACAGAGAAGTAAAAGAGCAAAACGCTTCCGTCAATCCGTGCGTGTCTGTCCCTTGCGGAGCTGACGGAGAAGCATGAACCAGGCTTAAGTAGAGAGTGTAGGACCTTCGGACGGAGTGTTTATTTGAATGTTTTGTCTTCATGGAATGTCAACACGCGCTGAGCCGAACCTTCTGGATTTAGAAGGTCAAACAGAAAGTGGATTTATTTCTGTAGATGAAAGGTTTTTATGTTGGTCTATATAGAGGTGAAAATGGACCCTTTTGGACGTTACACCATGATCTCCCAGTCTCAGGGTGGGCACTCATACCACTAGGCCACTGAGCTGGTGTTTTACACCTGATTTTTCCTGGTGTAACACAAAATAGTTTGATGCTCAGTGAGTACCCACTACAAAAATACCCCCCAAAACACAAGTAATCAGCTATGAATTGGTTTCCTATTATTACCTCACCAGCCTAACTTCTAAGACAAAAAGATTC